AATGTGTTATTATTTCGGAATTTGGTATTTACTATTGTTGTTATCAGTTCATAGGACAAAAGAAATTTGACTTAAGAGCATCCTTAAATTGATAGGCTACAATTTCATTCTTCGATTTATAAGTCGTTTTACTGGACCAACAGTCGATTATGTAAGATGTATTCATCCTATTTCATTTAAGGTGATGAATGACATTGAGTTTAATAGGTGTCATTTATGTGGTGGGACGGTGGATGAAACAAAAGTGTATTTGCTACACCTCAATCGCCTCTACAACATTTCTTCGCAGTAGAGCTGTGACGTGTTGGGATTTCTGAGAGGCATCTTCTTCACGGGTCGTTGACTTGATCTATTCCCACACGTTACGTCGGCATTGTAGTCGGCATCCTTAACACAGAGTTGCAACTTATCATAGCTTCAAGATGGTGACTACCATGCAGGAGGAATATCTGGACATATACCTAGTTTGTGGTCTAATGCTGGAAATTATCATGAATACTAGCATAAAGGATACAAGACTACTTAATATCCCCAAAAGGACTCCCTATCTCTGCGATCAAATTGTGAAAATAAGTACAAATCACTTCTAAACAGTTTAAGGAGACTTCGGCCGGACCTAAGATCACACAAACTTGGTATTCACAGCTCTGATCTGAAGAAGTGATGCATGCGTATCTGATCATGCTGCCAAATGACCTACTGAAGGAGGTAGCTTATACACGATATCTTGCCTAGTCCTGCACCTGGTTTTTGCAACTTAGTCGGAACTTCAGGGGGACTGTGGAATGTCCTCTGCCATAGTATTCGTGATTCCCAGCATCAGACCATTGACTTGGTACATTACCAGATTTTTCGCCGGCATCATAGTAGGCATCGTTGGAGAGAGACACAGAGTTACAATCTATCTAAGTGACAAATAATATTTGAAACCCATACCTCCATTCGGTTATAGCCTGCGAAAACTGGACATCATGACATTATAGTCAAAGATTTTTCGCAGATAATGGTTTTTCATGCCCTAGTAACAGAAATAGTCCAATCGGAGGAATGAAGAAAAGTGCTCAGTCTCTTATTTTTCCATATGTTACGCATTTTCGTGCTAAAATCGTTTTGGTTAAACGAGTCGAATTTGGATGGATGGACGGAAGTCCTGGCCGAACTTCGGGCCACAAGGGTTTTTTGTTCACACTCAATTTAAGCCTAGCCGGCTTCTTATCGCTCTGACACTTAATCACAATTACAAGTATTATCAACTCGGTACAATGTGACCCATACGATCAGATGAAGAGGACAAGAGGTGCTAGATCATCCTTAGATCATTTTAGGCATACGTTGTCACCACCACCACCACCAACAACAACAACAAAATTCAAGTCACACTTTGAAATTAAGACGTATCCTTATTTTTTCGAGCCCCCCTTCAGTCAAGTTTGGCAGACCGCAATTATGCCACTCATGGCAGGTCTCTACGTTCATGCAATGGCGGATTGGCATCATCAAAGTTCATCCGCGATCGTCTTCACTACCGGCTCTCTCCCTCCCAAGTGACAACCCCGACAAGTCATGTTGCTCGCGTTATTTAATCAAGTGGAGCCTCGAGGAAACCACACTTAATTTACAGACAAATGCCTGAACTGGTCGAGTGGAGGAAAGGTCCACTTCAACAGCTGCTGGGGCCTCCTTGTCGAGGCGCTGTGATTCAGGTGGTCTTTTTTGTACCTCAGCAGACACACGCGAGTGTATGCGCGCAAGTTCTGTGCCGACATGTGGCCCAGTGCCCAAATGGCTACATACCTTGGCCGAGATTTTTGGCTGTCCACGCCCAAACCCAAGTGCAGCTGGGCGCCCTCACTTCAGTCTCTTAACGAGGCGCAGCGCCTCGTCCCCACGTCAGCTGTTGTGGAAGCGTCACCTACTCCGAATTTCATTCCGTCGGCCCCACCGACTGGGACTGTCCCTGATTGGAGGCGGGTCCAGGTGAGTGGGGGAAAGGGGCGCAAGCACAAGCACAGGTACAGGTACAGGCATAAACACAGGCCCAGACACATACGCGAAGAGGAGCGGAGAGGGCCGAAGCGAAGTGGGATTCCTGTCCGTGGAGCACGTAAACACGGTCATCCACTTGTACCGCTTTGCGTGAATTCTCCAAGCTTGTGCATTCTTGTGTCTTTACGTGTGATTGTGTGGGGTGTGTACCATGTTGTTTGCATGTTGGGTTGCGTGTTTAGCGTTCGGGGTAACGGGCTACGAGGTTGTAGCAAATGTTCACCGATTTAGCCCGGAATCAATGGATGTGTCTTTTGATTGTGACAGCCTGAGATGGGCCCATGACAAGCTATTATGCGAGCTGCCTGCTGTTGCTGCAATAGACGATCGCCCCACTTGGGGTTGTCGGACCTGCCCACAACCGGCGAAACTGGCCGGCGAGCGGATGGGTTGGGTGCACACAAAGATGTCTCTGTGCTTCAGTCTCCGATTCACTCAGCCCCAGAGGCCCATTGCACACACCCTGTCGGTCCACTCGACCAACTCAAATGCCGGAGTGGGGCGCCATAGTTGCCATAGTAGAACACATGTCTTGTGACGTGTAGACTGGGGGTGATGTGGGCACAGTTACTCGACCGAGGTGATTTCGCCTTTCTCTCTATCGAAGCCTTATTCTCCTTATTCAATCATAGCACAGATCCAACAGTCAGACAATTAGATTTTTGACCTTAACACCGAACCATTGAGGTATCCCAAGATTTAGCTGTTACCTGCGAAAGTTTCAGAGACAAGCTTGCACATAATCGGATCACTTTCGACCTCATGACAGCTCGACGTGTCCTTCCTCTGCTTGAATGCTTCGTCCAATTCTCCCATTTTAATTGGGATCTTCGCTGCGCTTTGTTAATGGATTCAACTCAACAATTATCTCTATGACACCATAGCCATATTGATCCTCCCACGCAAAGTGATGTAGTCATCTTGAATGGCAGTGATAACTAGCTAAGTTCGATGTCTTCACGCCTTCGCTGGCCAACATTTTTTGGCATAGCGTATGGTCTGGAGACTTTCGTTGCATGCATTACTGCAGGATGAAGGCACTCGTAGGTCTATTTCACACGAAGACGACTGAGAATTCAAGACGTCCTTCGTCGAGTCAGGTGATGACGGGCTTTGCATTCGTCTATGGTATGCCCGGTATTCCTAAAGTG